GATGGCGGTGGCACATCAGATTGGAGAGATGGCGGTGGTGGTGGTGCTGATGGCAGTGAGACGTCTGACTGTGGAGGTGCGTCCATGTCTAGTTGTATGAAGTCAAGGGGACCTGGAAAATTCTGCTGCAGACAATTCCAGGGAAATGAGGTTTATAATGGTAAGGAAACCAAATATTTTCTTGAAACTTAAAACTTCATCTCCATGATTTGCTGCACCTAATGTTCTTTTGTTAACACTTTTATCTACACTCCACGCGGTAATATCACATCAAATTCTCTTTGGATTCCCTTTTTTCTCCTGTGCTCGTCTTCTCTGATGTGAAGCTTAATATGATTATTTTAGTGTTAAAGGTTTATTGAAACTATTCAATACACACCATGCAGAGATATTCTCTTACATTCATGAGAATTATGTTTACATTTTGCCCATTGTTTATCAAAAAGTCACTTCATTATCCACAATTATTAGCAATCTTTTGTTAACCTTTTACTGTTAAATTAATGTGATGGGATAAGAATCACTGAGCTGGGGAAATTTCTAAAGCATAATTAAGGGGCATTTTGGTTTGGCCTCTTTCTTTCAACGCTTGAAGTTTATAAAATTTTTGAGTTTTTTTTTTTTTTCTAAAAAAAAGTGAATAGTTGTTTGGTTTATTTCTTGTTGTTTAACATAAATTGTCCATAAATAATTAAAAATTGTTAAAATATTTTTAAAAAAACTTTATAGCTATTGTTTTTCTTTTTTCAAAAACCCGAACACCATAATTTAAATACCAATATGCAACATGATGTATTTGTTAGAAAGTTGTGATCTTTGTAAACTTATTTTTGAAGAAATTGTGAATGCCATGAACAGCTTTGATCATGCTGGGGAGCACAAGTTTCAGAATTGCGATTGCCGATCCATTTTCAATTTGCAACAGAACAGAGCCCCAGGAAGAACCTTTAGTAAGATCATGGCAATGTTGTTAAGACTCCCACGAAGAAACACACTGACTGAACTCACAAATCCTCTGTTTCTTTAATGATAGAGGATGAGACTGCAACAATAATTGAGAGGTAGCTCATAAATATTATATTATGTGAAGAGATCACCACCCCGACCATTTCCAAATACAAACTTTATACCCAGTTGTTGTCTCCTAGAGAAAAGAAAAACCCATTTCTCCTTATGTACATCGCCCCAACGACAAAAAACAACTAAAGAAACCAAAATGCTTTAGACCTACCCAGTTTCCCTTCACTTTTATCCAACCCCAATATATCTTTTTGCCCTTTCCCCAAGTTTTTATTCTTCATTTACAACATCCCAAAAAAAAACCCTTTGGAAAATAGGAGAGTTAAACTCACAACATATCCTTATGCCTGAGCAAAACTCACAACATCCCCAAAAAACACTCTTATACCTATCCAATCTACTCCCCCTCTCTTTGGAAAATGTACCGGAAAAAAGTTTTCCGTGATGATTATCTTGGACTCAGTTGTGAATTAAGTAACCATAATGGCTGGATAAGCCTCTGAGTTGATGGACAGCTCAGTAAGCTAGCCTGAGATTGATGAAGCATCTCAGTCATCAATGGGGTCTGGTAAGACTGAACAAGACTGGAGCCATCAGTGGAGTCACCTCTTGCTGTTGCTCGCTGCCAGGAATGGGAGCTCAATCCTGAAAGAATATATGCCCTTCCAGATACCTCATACACATGCCTGCTAGCCATTCGCTCTTGTATTTCCTTGAGTTCGGCATCTAGTGCAATGCAGAGCCGGTCATGAGATTTAGCTGACACAGTGCTTGACAATGCTAGTCGAAAATTTTCAAGGATAGAAACAGCAGTAGCTAAATCTCCCTGCTCAGCAGTGGCTCTTGCCTGTGCCATCGCCTCTGCAGCTTGAAGTCTGTTACATTGCCTGTCAACTTCAATTGACACTACTTCTTTGCCAGCCAGTTCTGGTCTTTCAATCCTAAGTACATCGCTCTCCATAGTTTCCATTTCTTTGGTTAGGGGATCCTTGTAGACACATCTCACCTTCAGCAATGGTGTCTCACTTCTGGAAGATTCAACTGGGACATTAATTGATACTAAAAAATCCCTCTCTTCTTCAGCATATAAATCTCCAACATCAATAAATCCTGCACGTCCATTATCTATGACCCGGCTTGGATAACTTCCGGCTTTTACCGAACCAAGCAGAAGACTCGGGTGCATGCATTCAACTCCTACCTGCAGCTCCTGCACCACAACACTTAGAAGACCTCCAATGCACTGTGCAAATGCATCCTGGATCACAGTTTCTGTTTCGATGAAGGAGAACGTCCCCCCGGAAATCTCTGAAATCGAATGCATTGACGAAGAATCATGGTCTGCACCAAAACCAAAAGCATGGACTGGAATCTGAAACCCTGTGCTATCACCATTGTGGATGGACAAAGGGAGGAGCAACTTGTAATTTGGTTGAGGCAGGTTACCCCCTATACCATTAACGGTATAAGTGTCCTGTCCATCAGACAAAAGAATTATACTGGCAACAGGATTCTTTTCTCTTCTCTCTTCCATTACCTTAGCACCTTTCTTCAGACCTTCTGCAATGTTGGTTCCACCACTGGCAACCAATGAGTTGACAGCTTGGAGTGCCTGCTGCCTTCCCACATCAGACATTCTGCGCAGGGCAAAAAGACGTCGAGCTGTCGAAGAGAAAGCAATAACAGAAAGCCTATCATTGGAGCCGAGGTTCTGAATTACAAAGCCCATTGCTCGCTTAAGCAATGCAAGCTTAGTTCCTGCCATACTACCACTGATGTCAAGCACTGTGACTAGGTCGACAGGGGCACGAGGAGTTTGAGAAGGGTGTGACAAACTAGCATGACTTCTGGTTAGATTGGGTCCTCTAACTATGGCACCAGCTTTGAGATGGACCAAAACTGTGAAGTTATCATAAGATTTGGTTCGCGACACTGCTGAAACTTCTGGATATGTCTTGATTTCTATTGTTCTAAAAGAACTGTCATCTGTAACATTGTCACTGAAAGAGATCTTCTCGGCTACTGCAGCTTGGTGATCTAAAGATTCATCATCATTGAATACACTTGGCTCAGGAGTCTGAAGCAGGGGAACAATGTGACGTCGATTAAAATCTCGTCGAGGGGGAGGTAACCTACGGACCACAGTCATTAATGCATCATTTTGAGGCCAACCCGCTGGGTTGATCGATGTCCTCCCAGGGAGAGGATCTAAGATAGGACCTTGCATAGGAACTTCTTTCCATTTTGCTCTGCAAACTGGACATATTTGGTTACCATGTTTCACATTTGAAGCAATGCACTGAAAGTGAAAGGAATGTGAACACTCTGCTGTGAAAATAGCATGACCTCCTCCCTCTTTCATTTTGGTCAAACAAATCGAGCAGGTTTGCTGACAAACGAAAAAAGGCAAAAAAAAAAAGAAGCATAAATACACAATTGATATTAAAAATAAAAAATTTTAGCTGAAAGATTGAGAATGATGAGGAGCATTTTTAATCAAAAGAAATATATGCTAACGCAAACACAACCATGAAGATCCACTGCCGGTACATAAAAACCAAAAATAACAAAAATATCGAACATAAGTTCAAACACTAACCACAACTTTTCATAAGTAGCATGCAACGGTCTTTTCTCTCACTCTCTATAACGACAAATACGAACATCAGGTACACTATTCACCTAACATGATGCGTTTGATTTAAATAGGTAGTTTCCATCAATGCAAGTTGGCAGTTAAGAAAATTGATCTTCATTGCAAGAAATTTACATCCAAATTTCATCCACGAATATATCTTTAAGCATGAAAATATTTATCCATATATGTAACAACAACCATAAGTTCTATAAGGGCATACACATGCAACAATTGAAAAACGAAGACGAATATCTGGAGTTTTTGCAAGCTTAGCTTTCTAAAAACATAGAAAAAGCATGTTTGAAAATTGTCCTATACAATATACATCTTTAACTTGAACATAATCTCAAATTCAAGTTCCATTTGTACTACAACATGTATAAACCCAAGTCACCCTTTTTACTAAAGGCGAGTAAACCTTCTGCTTTTTGCAGCACATGTAGCGAAATAACATTTTAGGACCCATGAAGTTTTATCTTGATAGAAAGCATACCCAGGTGTAGTTTTGGATAGCTTGGGGAAAAGCAATGAGAAACTAAGTTGTCCAATAGGCTAAGAAAAGTAGTCAAGTTTAGATATCCAACAACAGAAGAGCACAGTAGTAAATAAAGTCGAAAGGGAAAGGAAAATGAAAAATTCAAAGAATCACTTTTGAAAGGTTATCAAGAGGAATATACAGTGAGACAGATGAACAAGGGCTGCTTTCAAATGCAAAACCCATCTAACACAGAAAGGAAAAATCATAGCTTGCTTTAAGCATTTCTTATTAGAAAGTTTGCAAAAACTTAAAGAGTAAACAGTTGAGGCCAATCACACACAAGTTACTTTTCTTTCCTCTAAGAGGTGGAGGAAAAGGAAAGGTGAAATCCTGTAGCCATCTTTTGCTGGTAAGACAATTGAAAATGGCCACTAAAGGGACTGTTCATCAAACCCCACAACCAGAAAGAAGAGAAAGAAGACAGGCAAAACATCAATTACTTAACTCATTAAAGCATATGATATGTCTTACTAAGTGATAAAATATAAGTGGATCAAAGAACGGCCTTGAAAAATTATTGACTTAGAAAATCCTTTTTTGTTAAAAACAAAATATATTAAATCCAAAACTGAATTTGTCAAAAAATACATACAAAAAATCTGAAGAAAAACAAACAGAAAGGCCTATTTTCGACATAAACAATAAACAACAAAGTCATAATCAGGAAAAAAAATCTCATGAAATAAGAGAACATGATAGCAAAGAACACCAAGAAAGTATATAAGTTTTCTCAAGAAAATAAATTACAAATTATAAATTCTCCAGAGTAAGTTTTTTGGGCAAGAATGTTGAACAGATAACAAGTCCGTAGTATATGAAACAGGAAATTACTTCTATGTTCTTCAAGAAAATTTCTGCGCTTGAAAAGTGAGAGATTATAAGTTATGAAATTGCTCAAAAAAAAAAAACCCCACAAAAAAGAATAACACAAATCTCTACTCAACCCATCAACTAACAGAAATCTTTACCCCAGTCAAACAAAGCAACCCATTTTCTCAGAAACCAAACAAAGATTTCAGAGCCCATTATTACAGGATAAATGACCAGTAAAATAACAAGAATGGAAAATTCCATTTTCTCATCAACCCAACACAAGAAACTTTCTACTAAGCACGAAACTAAAAGAAAAAAAGTTCAACAAGAGAGGAGGAAAACCAAATCTTAGTAGCTTATTTCCTTCATTTCTCCCTTTAATAAACAAGCAAATAACAGCTCAAACCATCAAAACTGAGTAAAAGAAAAATGAAATTAACACCAAAAGTTTTCAAAGCAACAAGTATTAAAGAACAAGAGACACAAACCTTGGATGATCTGCTGCTGCTTCTAGACAACCTTAAACCATGAGAAGACGGAGTTGGTGTCATGGGCTGAGAGGTAGCCATGTCCCAATTGCCAGGAGATAGCAAAGCAACATCAGACAATCTCTCTGTAGATTGCCCAGGAGGTGGGGAATCCTCACGAGTTCTTGGCACATAAACACAAAGATTTTTACTCAAAGCAAGCTTTGCTTTCCTCCATTTGCTTCCCATTTTTCTTCTCACTTAAAGAACAAAATGAAAACAAAAAACAAGATTAATACAAACCAAACAAAACTCAAGAACAAAAAGTCAGATCTTGATTCTTGAAACGAGCTTCTGGGTTTCTCTACTCTAGTACCACCCCTTTCTCTTTTCTTTGGAATGAGGGAGGTAATGGGTCTTTAAAAAAAAGCAGAAATAGACACGAAAACCAAGGCGGAAAGAGCGAGAAAGAGAGATATTTAATGGAGGATTGGAGGAATAGCAGAGAAGTAGAACTAAAAGCAGGGAAAAACACCAAGAGAAAAATGATAAAACAGAGAGGAGTAAGGTGGTGAGTTTTAATGGAGCTTAAAATGTCAGAAGGAGAGACTGAGTCACGTATAAGCCGACTGAGGATAAAGATAAGTCTCCGTCTGTCTTCTTGGCCGCCATTACACAGAGAAAGAGAAGAGATTGAGAGAGTATTTTGACCTTGGCTGGTGTTAGTGTGTTGTAACAAAAGTAAAAGGGACAGATCAATAAATATATACAATAATAATTAAAAGCACGTTTTGATTATTCTTTTTCAAAAAAAAAAAAGTCATGTTAAATTTTAATAAATATATTATTTTTTTAATTGAAATAATTATAACATATTAAAATTTTTACTCAATTTTTTAATAAAAAAATATTATGCATCTCATGTAAATTAATTTTTAAAAAATTCTCGAAATTTTTTTAATACGTCGTTAAAATTAATATTAAATTTTTATTTAATTATTTGAAAGTAGCTAAAATCATCAAATTTTATAATTTTAAATGTTAAATTTAAAGAAAAATAAAATAAAATATTATTTTTTTAGTGTTATAATTACTTTATTTGGATTAGATATGATGAAAATTACATTTTTGGCATATGGTTTGGTTGAGATTTTTTCATTGGTTAAAGTCAGAATTGAATAGAAGTAAACATTAAAGCGAAACATTTATTGTGTAAGGAATATTATTCTAATGCCAAGGTTTCATAATCCAACCCAACACATAATTTTCTTCTTTATTGTGGATAAGATATAAAAAACTTTATAAGTCAAAATTAATTTACTTACAGGAATCGCACGATTAGTACAATGAAAATACTATTCTTTATCAACAATACTGTCTTGTAACTGTTAAAATTATTATATTTTATTTGAATATTACTGAGAACGTAGAGTTTATAATTTTTATAAATATATTATAAACTTAATAATATGTAATTTATAATATTTAATTCAGTATAACTAATGATTTACTTTATTAATGTAACACCCGATCATATTTACGGATTATAAATATATATATAATAATTAAAAAAAATTATTTTATTTTAATTTGATTGAATTTAAAAAAAACGAATTAGGGACAAAAATAAAAATAATTATGGGAAGAAATGTTGAAATTTGAGTTTGGATGATGTTTTTGAAAGAAAAATTAAAACCATGAGGTCAAAGTACAATTAGAGAAAGTTCGGTCATATAGGACCAGCAGCAGTCTCGACGAACCGGAGTGCACCGCATAACCAAGCGCACTGACGTTGGCACCACGCGGGAGGCCACGCTGGCGATCCGCATGTCCCATAATCGGACGGTCCAAGATAGATGCCGTGTGTGTGGACGGTCCGGATCCATTTACCCCTTAGATGCGATTGAACGGTTGAGATTACATGCAATAAACGGTTTAGATTCGTTTCTCCTTTAGGCGCGATCAAACGATCAAGATCAAATGCGATAAACGATTCAGATTCGTTTCTTCCTTAGGTGCAATCAGACAAACGAAATCGATCACGATGAATGGTCCAGACTAACACGGGATGGGTAAAAATATTTCGCATCACACAAAATCTGAACCCTAGTCGCCAACTCCCCCACTGGAGAAGGAAGCCAGCCGCCGACCATCGACTGTCGCCGCACCGGAGCCACCTCCGACCGCCAAAAAAAGTAATAATTCTCTTACCCACTCGGAATTTGATTCCGAGCACCTCTATACCAATATCGAAGCAACCTCCTTCGATGAGCTCCTTCTCAATTTTCCGTTTTGTGCAATTTTTTCACCATTATGTTTTTTGTAGGTTGACTGAATGACGAATCGCAGTCGTGAAGGAGAGCCGGCGGAGCTGCTACACCCGGAAACCCCACCACCGGTACGTTTCGATTTTCTGATTTTGTTTTACCAATTAAGACTCTCTAATGTGTTTTTTCACATAAATATGTATAAAGTCGGTTGAAACTGGCCTAAACTATCCAAAAACGGCTAGGCCGAGACAAACCACCACTGTGCCAGAATCCCAAAATTGGTCGGAATGAACTTTTAACACTGATTTTATATTTTTTTAGATATTTTTTAGGTACGTGGAGTATGTTTAATCGTCGCAGGAAAATTCAGAAAATTCGGGGACTGTCAGGAGGTGCAGTAGAAAGTACGGTATTTCGGATATCGATTCGGGTAAGAATCTCTCACCCTATTTCATGTTATGGAATTAAAACTTAAAAACTAATAATATGGTATTCTGTGAAATTAAAAAATAATTACAGGTCTCTAATAGAACCGAAACCGGTTAGTTGTTTATTTGTCATGTCTAACTGATTACTTGCTCCTACAGCTTTAAATACATGATAATATATTGAAATAGTTAAATGATTCAGTTGTGTTTGCTTAATACATATATCGTTTGTTTTGCGTAATTTACGGTTGATTGTGAAACATGATATTAATATACATATGAGAAATTGTTTGATGATATGAATTAATAAATGGTTGTCTTACTAGATATTCTAGGAGATGGTGGACGGATCGGGTATATAAGGAACTCTATCATGAACGTCACCTCGTATCGAATGGGATATCGAGTGACTATATTTTTTGCGTTCATACTGAATAAGGTATGGGAACGGCTCGGTTCACCCTCATATCGGACGGGATATCGAGAGATGATATTTTGCCGCTCACAACGGACGGGGTATGGAGACGACTGGATAATCGATAAGTTCATATATTGAGTTCACGCGTAGAAGAATATTCCTATAGACCCCCAGTGGTACTAGTAAACAGGTAAAAAATAGAAAGTTATTATTTTTGCTCACTTATATAAAAAATCATAATATCATTTAAGTTATTATCTTTATAGGTTGGTTTTAGAAATCTCATAATTTAAGTATGCAATAATGATTTTTCTTATGATAAATGAATTTACTTAATTAAAAATTCAATTAGTTATTTTATATATTTTTTACTCCTATT